AGAACAATAAAAAAATACATAGAATAGAGATAATAATAATAAAAAAAAGATGACCGCTGTCCCATATGCTCGCAATGAACACCCGCCACATGGCATTTTGACAGATGCCGGGAAAACAAACAATTGAGCGGAGCTAGCAGTTACAGCTAACTCTGCCCAACTGTGAACAGTTTTACGTCATCTAAGGCCTGGTTCACACCTGTACGTTTTGTAGCGCGTTCAACGCTCTACGAACGCTCTACAAAACGCTCAAACACGACAATCCCATTGTTTTCTATGGGTATGGTTCACACCTTGCCATAAAAACGCGCGTCACTGAACGCGCGACAAACACGCATATTCGATATGCCTAGGTGTGAACAGAGCCTTACAGGTGAGCCATGATTGGGCAAAGTCATCATGACTTTGTCCAATCATGGCTCTCACAGAGTACTGAGCCCTGATTGGGCAAAGCCTTTAGCCAATTAGGGCTTCACAAGGTGCTTTGCCTTGTGGGGCGTTCAGCGGTCAAATAGACCGCCAAACACCCTTATAGTTCGTGTGTTCGGCAACACACGAACTAGCAATGTTTGAGGCGAACTCACGTTCGACTCGAGCATCCAGCCCGACCCTACTGGTCACGTCCAGACAAGGTGTGTAACCCATCTCAAGAGGATTGCTCAGTAATATCCTGTTAAGGAAGCCTATCACAAAAAAAGTGTAAGGCTCTGGTGGTGGATCGGGCTATCTCTTGCCTTTACAAGTACCTGACAGCACTGGTTGAGGAAATTCTGGTCTTAAAATAGCCTGTAGACAAAAGGCTGGTGGGCTTGCTTAAGGCTTTTTTCCATTGGTGAGTGTGGCCATGCAACTGACTGTTGTCTTGATGGCAAATGCCAGACACTTGCAGTGTCGACTAAGTGCATGGCGCATGACAAGGGGTTGATCCTCATGGATTCATCATAAATCCAAAACCTAGAGCTCCTTCCTCCTTAAACCTGCTAAGCCTGGCACCAAGTCAGCCTCGCAATGCCCTCATTTCTTCAAACAGAGATGTCTGTCGGCCTTTTTTACCAACTGATCTTGGGACATTAGGGATCTTCGGGTCAAAGACATAGAAGGGAATTTATCAACACTGGAGCAGGCAAAATCTGGAGCAGCTGTGCATGTCAACCAATCAGCCACTCTTTCTCATTTTCAAATCTTATCTGAACAACCTGAAGAGAGAAGCTAATTGGTTGCCATGCACAGGTGCTCCAGATTTTGTCTGCTCCGGTTTTGATAAATTTCCACCATAGTGTCTTGGGGATACAGACTGGAATTTTAGTCCTTCCTCTCTCTGTGCTTCATGCCTTTTGACATTTTTGTCTTTTCTGTAGAGACTTAGGAATCTCTATGCTGTCTTGCAGCTCCTTGGGAGTGATTGTTCCAGTTCCCAGGAGGAACACTTTTAATGGTTTTACTCTAACTTGTTCATGGTTCCCAAACCAAGGGCAGGTCTTCGCTCTATCCTGGAACAGAAGGTTCTAAACACCTTTCTACCAGTCCAAAAGGTTTGCATAGAATCAACGTATTTCTGCAACAAGGGGAATTTATAGACATCAAGGATTTGTATTTATTTGTGGTCAGAGTCTGAACATGAACATGCGTAAAACCCCTACATACCGAGACCTGAGGTTTGCCGTGGTCGCCCTGGACAATATGCCTAAAAGAGGGCAAACTCAAATGTATTGTAAAAGAGGTATGGGTGGGTGGGATACCAGGACACGATCCGACTGTGAGTAGGAGAACTGTGGCCGTATTTACAGGCCAGCCTCCTCCCACAAATTCAAGCTGGCCAATAGTCAGCCTTCCTACTTGTGGTCAGAGTCTGGACACGAACATGCTGTGAGATTTAGCTTTCAATGGTATGACCTCGTTTTAAGGGCTTCTGTGCCCACTTTTATTGAATCCAACTCAAAAGTCCACACAGGTTTACCCTCGCAGGGGTTTTCAAACAACATACAGCTTTTCTTCAGCAACAATTACACTTTTCAGTCTCACCGACTTTAGGAAGGTCCTTTAACAAAATGTCTGGCCACACAGGCTGTATTCAAACACTAGCCACACCGGCTTGTCCTTTTGCCTCTTGCCACACAGGCTGCTGTTTTTGCCACACAGGCGGATTGCCACACAGGCTGCTCGTTTGCCACACAGGCAGATTGCCACACAGGCTGCTCGTTCGCCACACAGGCTGATTGCTACACAGGCTGTCTGCTCCCCAGTCCACCAGACACACAGTCTAGTTCTAGGGTGGGGCTCTTCTCTTAGGAGGCTGGAACTTCTTTTAGAGGCCCTAACAAGCCAGCTAGCTTCAGCTGGGCTTGTTACCTCTGAACCTCCAGCCCTCTCAGCACTCCCCCCTAGAGGAAGAACTTAATTATTACACCTGAACACAGACATCCCTAACTGCCTGCTGCCACAATGCGTAAAACCCCTACGTACCGCAACCTAAGGTGTGACTTGGACAATATGTCTAAAAGGGGGCAAAAACCACACTTATAGGAATATAATAATGTATGTTTAATGTAACTTGTAACACTTCAATCAATCAAACTAGTAAATGCTTGGGCCATTTCTACTTTCGGATCTGGAATATATCTGGTGTAGCAAGAAGAGTTCCATCATCCCAGATGCTTGATGACATGTGCTGGGATGCCTTTCCTTGATGCTGCTGATGCTGCTCTTATACGGAATTAATGACCTGAATATTGAACTGTATTCAAGCCAAGGTTTGCTAAAAGAATATGAATATGCTTAATAAATTGACTAGTAGAGAGAGGGAAAACCAGAAAGGGAAGCAAAAGACTATCTCTAGAATGGTGAGTGAGTGTGTGACCTAACTGATCAAAAACTGCCAATGGGCACCAGGCATTACCTATCGGAAAGAACTTGACCACATGCCCAGGGCCCACCTGACGAGTTTTATTACAGGGCAACTGCAATAAGTAACAATTTCTTGATTTGACGAAACGCTTTAATACGGGTGCACCTGACCTAGATTGTGCCACCTCCCCAGGTCTTAAAAAGCCAAATAGATAGCTGCTTCGAGCACTTAACTATTAAACATGCCAAATGGAGAAAGGGAAAGTACATCAGATAATTTACAGAAAATATCACCTAAAATAGGCAATCGGATTCACTTAACCTTGTGATTTTTCTGAATGCCCTTCGGAATGGCTTAAACAGGGTTTTGAAGGGATAAGAAATGCTGCACCCCTGCCAGGTATAACCAGATGGTATTATAGGATAAATATAGAATAGATATCCCAGGCCCGGTGATAAGCCCTCAGGAATTCTAGATAACGTCTTTTATTGATGCATCATGCAACAATACACTTATTGCAACGTTTCGGGGTCACACAGGATCCCCTTCATCAGGCAGAACAAGTGAAAAAACGGCCACCTGGACGGTGGCCATCCGTCGACTACTGATGCACCCAACCCATTCATCAAGGATTTAGCGGTAAGGAGTGCAATGGGTACACTGACTATTACCCAGTTATTTACAAACTACCTGGCCAGCTGGAAGCACTTTTGTAGGTCCGTATGCCATACGTCCTTGGCAGCGAAAGGGTTAATGACACTGCTGTGACCAGTAATTAATTCAATCCATCACTAGTTGATGATAATCTGGCACTGGTGTGCCCACCGGATCTGCTTCTGGATTCCGGAAAAAGAAATGAAGAAAGTCAAGACGTGACAATGCATCAGCAGAAATATTGCTCAACCCTTCTATGTACATGCAATTGAAATGGAAACCATACTGTAATGCTGTCATGTTAATTTACGCATGAAAGCCATGATAGCTATTGATTTGGGCCTTGATGATTTCCGCTGTGGCTAAATTATACGTATGGAAAACCACCATGTTTTCTGACCACTGATGCCCCCAGATCACTGCTGCCACTACTATGGGGTATATTTCCAAACGGGCGGATGTCTGTACAAACATAGCTATCCAAAATACATCTGCTGGCCAGGAACTAGCCATCCAGTGAGTGCAAACCCACAGATGCTGCAGCATCTGAAAAAACATAGGGGAGGATACTGTCGATCGAGCGAGGTTCTCTTCTCTGATCAGGATCTCAACTGCAGAGGTTAGGGCTGACCAGTGTACCACACTATGAGTCACACAACTCTGTTATGTTATGTAAGGGAGTAACAGTGATTAAGGTACAGTTCCACAACATACACTCTATGGTAATTGAGAGCGATCGCATTAACTGTGGAACATCATACACCGTGGGTATTTTTACAATGTTGAGTCATGCACAGTCTCTTGCTGCATTACCTCATGCAGGCGACTCAGTGCAACCCTTGACCCAATTGTGTTTTAACTTGTATCATATAATAAGAAATAATAACCCTGGGGGAAAACCCACCTAATTGTAAATATAGGCAGATACATAGTCCAGTGGTGGCTACAAGCTGTAGCACAACGTTAGGTAAAAATTAACTCATGTGGTATAACAGCGTGGTATTATGGACTTGTAGTTCAAGCACAGCAATCAATAATATAACAGCGTGGTATTATGAACTTGTAGTTCCTGCACATCAATCAGTAACAGCGTGGTATTATGGACTTGTAGCTCAAGCACATCAATCAATGGTATAAGAGCATGGTATTATGGACTTGTAGTTCATGCACATCAAACAGTGGTATAACAGCATGGTATTATGGACTTGTACTTCATGCACATCAGTCAATGATATAACAACGTGACAGTAGTTGTGGAGAGTATTTGCAGTTTTAGGAGGAAACAGCAGCTCCCCAGCTCCCTTCGTATAGCTTCTGGGTGAGATAATTTTCAAGAAATATATTTCCCCTTAGGAATGTCCCCCAGTACAGCTGGGTAGAATAATCCACAGCAACAAGTTTAGGATGGAGAGTGAAGTAGTGTCGGTGGGGTTGATTGCTTGGCGTCCTCAACAACACTAGGACGCCAAGTAATTGAGAACCCCACCGTTTTATCCGACAGCCGACGTGAGCGTGAAGGAGCGGTACGTCACTGCCGTCGTGACAGAGACGGATCAAGGTGACGGCGCTGGAGTGGGAGGAGCCAGATCGCCTCGAGCGGAGGTAAGTCTGTTACAGGCCTGAGGCACAATCATGGATATCCCATTCCAACTATTCAAAAACTGATCCCACATGATCAAATCAGCTCGAGCATTTACGTCCAATCGAACTGACGAAGCTGATTCCGTGCTTGCTGGAACAGGGCTAGTAACCTGCAGACAAATTACCTACCTTGTGGGATGATTCTCATCACAAACTTTAGCATACCAAGTAGAGACTGTAATTCTTTCTTGGTACAAAAGTGAGATGCTACTAAAGAATGGATAACCAGTTTGATCCTATGTAATTTATCTTGGGGCAAACTAGCTTGTAACTTATCTGTGTCTAAAGTAATCCCTAAAAAGGTAATCACTTGGGCAGGTCCCTCTACTTTGTGAGCAGCTACCGGAATATTTAACTGTTCAAAAACTTGCAATAGCACTTGTAAATCCTTCAGGGCCCTCCTAGGGCTTTCAATCAATAAGACATCATCCAAATAATGGATGGCTTCCTGGCAACCTTGTGATTTAGACAAAATCCATTCTAGTGCTTGCACAAGAGAATCAAACAGCCAGGGACTGCTCTTGGATCCAAAAGTTAATTTAGTGCCAAAATAATATATCCCTTGCCATTTAATGCCATGCCACTGCCACAGAGTTTGCTTAATAGGAAGTAATTTAAACACATCTGAAATATCCGCCTTAGACAACCAAGAACCCTTACCTGTTTGAAGAATAACCTGAATAGCCTGATCCACTGAAGCATATTTTAGTGAAAAATCTTCTGATAAAATTAAGGAATTTAAACATGGAACATGTGAAGAATGAGGAGCGGACAAATCGTAAATTAATCGAAATTCATTGGAATACTTCCCCTGTACCACCCCAATAGGACTCACCCTAGTCAGAAGGCTTTTACGTTGGATGGTGCATGCACATCAGAAGCGCTCACCCAAGAATCTTCTGCAGGGCCGTATCCTTTCCAACGCAAGTATTCCACCCAATTCCATGGGGTTTAGTGTTTTAGTGTCTTATATCTAGAAGCTCCTCCACTTCATATTCCTCCTCTCCATGTATTATTACTGGACCAGGTTGCGATGTTGGAATCCTATAAGCAGTGTCATCAAGCCTTAATAAAGAGATGTGGAACACTGGATGTATTCTAAAACTATTTGGACGTTGAAGTTTCATCGCTACTGGCAACACGATCTTCTCTATAGCAAACGGTCCAATAAATCTGGGACCCAACATTTGGAGGGGCATTGGAGCTTCAAATACTTAGTGGACAGCCACACCTTTTCCCCCACTTTGAGTGACCGCTCTGCCATGTGGAATTTATCATAGTACTTCTTGTATAATTTCTGAGCTGATTGTAATGTTCGTCTCAAAAAAACGTACATATCGGTTATATTCTTGATGTGAGTTTCTACATCTGGAATGCGGCAAGGAACAGGAGAACTGGGAAGCATGGTTGGATGGAAACCATAGTTCGTGAAGAAGGGGGACATATTGATGGAACGATGGACTTGGTTGTTGTAAGCAAACTAAGCTAGAGACAAGAAGGGTAGTCAGTCATCCTGTAAATGAGAGATATAGCAACGAAGGTACTGCCCCAAAGTCTGATTAGTTCACTCAGTCTACCCATTGGACTGTGGGTGGAAGGCAGTGGTCAGGTTTCTCTGAATGCCAAGTTGCTCACAAAATGCTTCCCAGAACTTGGACGTGAATTAGCTTCCCCTGTCACTGACTATGGTCTTGGGTAATCTGTGTAACTTATATACCTCCTTGATGAACAAGTGTGCGGTTTGTCCATTGGCAGCTATGAAGTGTGACATCTTGGTGAGACGTCTACTACCATCATAATGTTGTTATGCCTCTGAGCTGGGGGTCCAGACTGGGTGTTTGTCAAAATAGAAAGAAGGAGGAAAGAATCCCAAGAGTATCAGTGAGGGTGAAAAGCACGACAAACAGAAGAATTTGGTCATCCCATATGTAGCTGGGTTGTCTGAGAAACTCAGAAGGGTTTTTAAAAAACATCACATCCCTGTCTGCTTTAAACCCAGCAATACACTGAGACAACAACTGGTTCACCCAAAATACCCAACACCAAAACACAAGATGAACAACATTGTGTATACAGTCCAGTGCAATGAGGAGTCCTCAGAATTGTATGTCGGTGAAACAGCAGCTACACCAGAAGAGCCAAACCTTCTGGTCAGGCTTCATCTATTGTCTGGCACAAACAATGCTGTTTTAACACTTCTCTCTGGGCAGGTTATTAACACCTCCTAGCTCCAATTGTGCAAATGCAATCAACACCTGGTTGCAACTAACAGATTATGTGGATTGGAACAACATTCACCATATTTATTCCCAGATAATTTTTGTACAAGTCATTCTGAATTGAGAAAGTGAAACGCCTTCAAGAAAAATACAGCAAGTCCAGTTGCCTTGACTTAATTTTTACAGATCTACTTCCTGAATCTCAAGCATTTTTCCAGCTTGGCATACAGTCGTTGCTCTCGGAGGCCGGTTAATACGACCCGGACGTGATCCCGGTGTTCTGTCAGGATATTATATAAGGATGTCATGAGGTTAGACCACTACGAAAACAACCAAAATGTCTCGTAATATGTCATGAATGAATCTTTGGAAAGTTGCTGGGGCATTACATAGCCCAAGGGGCATCACCAAGTATTCAAAATGCCCATAGCGGCATCTAAAGGCAGTCTTCCACTCATCCCCCTGTCTCACTCTCGCAAGGTTGTATGCTCCCCACAGGTCAATCTTGGTGAAGAAGGTTGCTGAGCGCTGTGACGGACTGAACCGTCACGGGGGCTGTTGGAGGAGCCTGGGGGCTAGCCTCCTTCCTACTGACTATGGACCTAGAACTATGGAGACCCCCCTCAGACCTCTTGGGGTTCCAAGGAACTATTAACCCTGATGTATGTGTGGAGTTTATATGCCACATCTTTCCCATTGCCCATTAAAGGTGCAGGGTGTGAATCCAGCAACACAAAAAGGGTTAACTCTGCACTGAGACTCCCAATGAATGTGTTACAGTTTATTTGTCCCTTTGTTCTATTGTGTTGATGATGGGATTAAGATAGCTGACTCTAGGAGTAGCTGACTCCGGGTCTAGATGAGTAGATCACCTTATGATACACTCGGCAGATAATCCCATCACTTGTGTCCCCTCTCTCCCTATTCATTAATTAAGGCATTGGGGTGTGGCTCCAGGAAGGAGATCTAAAGGCCATTCATACTCCCTTTGAGGAGGGAGAGAGTCCGCAGCCTTCTTTTTGAACATGTCACTGTATTCTTGGTAGACGGAAGGCAGGGTCACTGTAGAATCCATGAAGGGTTCCAGCGTGAGGCCCACAGTGCTGGAATTAAGGCAAGTCGAAGTACAGAAGACTGATGAGAACAGTAGTTTACCTGTTCCCCAGTCTATGGAGGGATTATGCTGTCGTAGCCATGGGAGCCCAGGGACTAGGGGAAATAAGGGAGAGGAGACCACATCAAATGACAGGCTCTCTTTGTGTGGACCTATGACGAGGGTGAGTTTTTTAGTTTTCAAGATCACTGGTCCGGACTTGATAGGCGATCCATTAATAAGTTGAATATGTAATGGACAGACCTTTTCCTGAATCCATTAAGCATCAGCTGGCAACGGAGTCGAGCGGAATGGAATTATTTTCCCACTGTACAGAGAGAGAGACAGACAGGTGAGATGAGCAGGGTCGGGGTAACAAATTCACATGTGGAACCGCAGCAGCAGTCTTATCTTTTTGGATGAAGGCCGCACCTTACACTCCCTCACACAGTGCCCTAATCTCCCATAATACAAGGGCAGGCCCTGGGATCTATTCATTCTTTTGTCAGCCTCTGATAGTGGGCCCCTGATCAATCCAATCTGCATAGGTTCTTTTTCGGTCTCAACAGCTATACTGGCGAGACCCCGGGTCCTGGGGAGACATGACTTGGGTAGGAAAAACGGTCGAACGCCCTCTCTCGACGTCTCTCCTGGAGGCGTCTGTCAATTTGTATGGTGTAACGAAGTGTACAGCGCTAAATGCCCTTCAGGAAATTAGATAACGGTAGGGATCAGATGATGTCACCTCCGTGTCAAGCAATCGTGAAAAAGTGTATATATAATAAATATTTGTGTAAAAACTTATAGTACGTTATAAAATGTGTCAACAGGTGTCATAAAAAGCATGTCATACATGAACCTTATTAAGTAAATAAATAAAAATCTACAAAGAACATGTGTCATATATGTGAAAAAATATTATTATATTAAATAAATAAATAAACATGTGTCATATATGTGAAAAATAAAATATCGCATTATAAAACAGTCTCTGTTGTTTTCTTTCGAAAATAAGTGGAAATATGCACCTATAATATAAAAAATGCACCCAAAGTTCTTAAAGCTCTCCGATCTTCAAAACAAAAGAGCCCAGAAGAATGAGAATAAAAATCAAAATCAAAAGAAATGTCCAGTATTGTGAAGTGTCCAACGAAAAAACGATAGAAGAAAAAAGCAGGCAGATCCCCTATAGGGAATGCACTCACCAGATCCCTGATGGTCGAAAGCCTTTATTCTTATCCAATGGAGGCCAAAGATGTATGTCCTCTTCTCCCGTTTGGTGAAAGCCTCAGGCTACAGAACCCGCTTGCTTCTCCGAGGTGAAGGGATTACAATCTTTGCTGTTAGGTCTCCTCTATTGGGTATCCATCCGGACAAAGAACACAAGAAATGCGCTCATAGCGTAGTAAGTTCAACTTTAATGGGTCCAAAATAATAAATACAGACAAACAAGCGCTCTATAAAAATTCCATAAAAATCAACGTGGAAAGCCGGCTAGTCACTCAATCTGAGTGCAAAAAGGACTGGAACAATGACGTAAAGGTAGGCCCGCCCCCGACGTGTTTCGTCACATGGACGTTCTCAAGGGATGACCTGTCAGCTCCTGTAAGGCTTCCGTCCAGCCGTTCATGGACGGGAGGTGGTTAAAAAGAGATCTAGCTGCATGACATTTACTTGGCTTAGTTATGTCGATTTAACCGTGCATGTTGTCTTGGGATGAGCATGGTAGCAGTTAACACAAACATGTAATAATCTACATTGGCTGTAATTACATGCCGTATAAAAGTAGTTATTACATATCTTTGATTTCCCTAAAAAATTTAAAGGTCTGCCCAATTTGTCAAACTGAGTGGTCTGATGAGTGCTCCCCGCAATACTAGGGCCTTTGGATGAACAAGGGGTGGCCATTGGTTCAGCTAATGGGCACCATGCAGTAGTATGTGCAGGTGACTGGCAGGTTGCCCATACCGGGGATCTAAGGCTGGCAAAGCCCACCCCAACCCAGCCTTACCATTCATAGTGGAGGTGGATGTATCTGAGACTGGAGTAGGTGCCCTCCTGTCTCAACGTTCTTCGCCCGAGGGCCAACTTCATCCATGTGGGTTCTTTTCTAAGAAACTGTCCCCGGCTGAGTGCAAGTATGAAATTGGCGTCAGGGAATTGTTGGCAATCGTCTTGGCTCTCAAGGAATGGTGACATCTCCTTGAAGGGACCACTGTTCCTGTGTTAATACTCACTGACCACATGAATCTCACCTATCTCTCGGTGGTTAAATGCCTATCCTCCTGGCAGGCCAGATGGGCCTTGTTCTTGTCTCATTTCAACTACATTGTTTCTTATTTCCCTGGGTCTAGAAACATTAA